GGACTCGGCCCCACATCCCACAATGGGACAGGCCTGCAGGACGCGCCACGGCCGAGCTGCTCCCGAGCACGTGCAGGGATTATAGATTATGGCTTAGCCATTTGCATAGCAGAATCTTAAGCAGCTGCCCCTCCGGCAAACAAGGTCATTTCAAAGATACAATAGGAGCTCTCCGCCTCCTGCCGCCCATCCTTCCCTTCACATCCGGACTGGTGGCTCCAGGGAGGAAGACGGAGTCCAGGCCCTGGCGGCCCCAGCTCTGCCTCCAGCCGAGGTCCCTTCTCTGTGGCCACTCCTGGGATCACGCTCAGACCCTGGCCCTTCTCTCCTCCTGCCGGCGCCTCCTGCTGCCTCACTGGAGTCCAAGGCCACAGGCCCAGTGACCAGGCCGCACTCCCGCCCGTCCACGTCCGCCTCGCCCCCGACTCAGGCCCTGCGGCATCCTACCCATGCAGGGCTGTGCCCTCTCCCACTCCCTCTGCTCCCTACTGCAGGGCCCCGACTCGCCCTGGAGGCCTGCGGACACCCCTCCTGGAATCAGCTCCTTTCCCCACTTCCCCCTTGCTTCCACGTTTGGTTTGGGTGGTGACGGCAGGGTTTGGTGAGGTGTGACTGGTCCCTGTGACGGGAGGCTCTGCCCGCGGCAGCCTCTCACCCTGGTGGGTGTCCTGCTTTGGACATCGAGGCAACGACCTCACTGGTGGGTCCCGGCTCCCGCCTGGAAGCCTCCCTCGTACTGGGCGGGTAACGGGGTTTGGGGGGTGAGCTTTTCCTGCCATGAGGCCATGGTGACCGCCACCGACAGGGGAGCGCAAGGTGGCTGCTCCAGGCCCCTGCTTGGTCACCTCTCTTGGCCGCGAAAAGGGGAGTTCCAGGCTGCAGATGGCGGCTTCTCCCGGCAGAACCTACCTGCACCCCCTAATCCGAGAGAACCTAGGCCACCCTGGGGTGGCCAACAAGCTCAAGGCCCACAGCTGAGGTCTGGGAAGCGGCTCCAGCCACACTGCACTACACACTCCTCAGTCCCCCTCCTCATGGAGGCTTCCTGCTGCGGCTGTGGCTCTCCTTACATCCATTTTGTAGATTGGGAAACTGGGACCTGGAGAGGTCAGGCGGCCTGCCTGCTGTCACTCAGCGAGGCTGGGCTGTAGAGTCTGTGCTCCCGTCTCAGAACAGCTCCAGGCGCCCCCATTTGAAGTCGTGGCGCTCCAGAGCAAAGCCGCTTGCAGCATACAGAGCTCAGAACTTTTGAAAACAAAAACCAGCACCCACTGAGTGCCTCCCTGATCTCTTTTTAGGGCTCTGGGAGCACCAGGTATCAGGTAGGGCCAGGAGGGGGCTGAGGTAGGGGCAGTAACAGGGCCAGGAGATCATAGGAAGTCAAGACAATGGCCACGTGCACACCGGGACAGCTCTCCCCACCCGGGGACAGTTCTCCGCACCCCAGGACGGCTCCCCACACGCCAGAACAGCTCCCTGCACCCCGGGACAGTTCTCCCCACCCCGGAACAGCTCTCCCCAACCCGGAACAGCTCCCCGCACCCCAGGACAGCTCCCCACACGCCAGGACAGCTCCCCGCACGCCGACACAGCTCTCTATACCCCGGGACAGCTCCCCACAGCTTGGGACAGCTCTCCGGTGCTTACAAAGTCATTGTGTGCCCAGGACCTCACTTACGTTTGCAGTAGGTGTTGGGGACCTCTTGGGTGTCCCCTGGGAGGAGGGGAGGGGCTGGGAGGCCTCCCCTCTGCCTAGTGTTACATGGTGCCTCCAGGGAGTCCCTGACCACCAGGGATAGGGCAGCCTGGCTGGACCCATGGTGGAGCTGTCGGGGGAGGTGCCAAGGCCGGGTCTCTCCACCAGGCTAACCCTGTCTACCTTCTGGATGTCCCTGGGAAATGGGTCTAACCGGGGTTGGGGTTGGGGGTTTCCCAGGACACCTGTGAGCCCGGGTCCAGCCAGCAGATGAGGGCCCTGGGCTCCAGGCTCTGCAGCGTGACCGGGTTCCACCCACATGCAGGACAGATGGGAAACAGGTTCAGGGCCCAGTCACTTCCCCAAAGCCACAGGGTGCAGAGTGCACCTTGGTCCAAGTTGGCGCTCCCTCCACCCCAGATAGGAAAGGAGGATGGCGCCTCCCAGGCCGCCTCGAGAACAGGGCCCCAGGCCAGGTTCAGAGGGGCTGGGGCAGGTTCAGAGGGGCTGGGGCCTGCACTGTTTCCCACACTTGGGGATGGGTGGGGTGGAGAGCAGCTGTGGGCCAGAGACCATGAAACAGAAATTGGGAGAGACAGGGGCAGAGACAGGGGTGAGGGAGAGAGGCATGGAGAGAGAGAGAGAGAGAGAGAGAGAGAGAGAGAGGCAGGGACGGAGGAAGAGAGAAGGAGAACGGCAAAGAGAGAGGGAGAGAGGAAGGGAGAGAGGGAGAAGGCGGGGAGGGAGAGGGGAGAGAGAGGCGCTCACACAAGACAGAGCATCAGAGAGAGGGTCTGGAGACAGAACGGAGAGACACTCAGGCCCAGCAGGGCAAATGTGGCCAATCCCCTATTGCACCCCAACCACTGGACTGGTCACCTGGCCAGGCACTGCCCTTGGGGCCACTGACCCTGCTGGCCATCGACGCACGGGCCGCCCTGAGAGATAAGAGCCCACAGAACCTCCTTGGCTTCCCCGTGGGTGATAGCTCGGCCTGTGTGGGCCTGATAGGCCGTGGCCACTGCAGCGGTTGGCCAGCAGCCGCGTATCAGCCCATCACCGCCCACTGCACAGAAATTCATATCTGCGGGAGCCGATAGGGCACCGCCCGGTCCAGAGGATGCACACAGCACAGGAAGCTCGGGGGTGCGCCCCAGCCCCAAACCACGGCCGGCCTCAGGGGCCCAGCCCTTCCCGGCGCCAGGCTCCATCCCCCAGGGCCTCCTTCGTCTGGAGAACAGGAGGATGATCTAACCCCTCTCAACACTGCAGGGGTGGACAGGGACCCGTGGGGTGACGATCAAACCACTGTCTATGAACTCCAGGCCCAAACCCAGCTCCACCACCTCCCAGCCGCATGATGGTGGACGTGTGCTGCATCCCCGGGCTGGGGCTCCTCCTCCAGAGACTGGGGTCACCATCTCGGCCCCTCTTGGGGCTGGCGTAAGGACCGCCCAGCACCCCCTGTCTGCCCAGTGGCCAACTGGGTCCCACAGGTACACAATGGTCCCTGCCACTGTGTGGGTGGTCTCTACTGATAGAGTGTGGGAACTCTGAGGGCCTGAGGGGGGCCTGTGTGCACCTTCCCCGCTACCCTGTTCTACAGCTGGGGACACTGAGGCAGCCAGGGCGGCCCCTCCCAACCCCACAGCGCTGCCCTGCACGTGAAAAGGCCTGTCAGGCTGACCCCGCAGTGAGGGCCTGAGGCACCAGCACCTGACCAAGACCCCCAAAGACACCAGCGTCTGACCGACCCCCGACAGGTGTGTCCTGGGCCTCCCCCCACCTAGTGTCCCTGAGGAGAAGGCACGCAGCCAGCACGTTTCTGCCACGGCGCCTGGGCCCCCCACCATCTTTGGGTCCCAGGTGGGTAAGCCACATCGTCTGCTGTGCTGGATGCCCGGTCCCCCCTTCCTGGGGAACAGCAGGAGGAGCCCATGAGGACCAGTGGCCACGAGGCCCCAGCATTGCCTTGGGCAGCCCCACAGCCTGTGCAGGTGTGACTCGGCTTCCCCTTGGGGCCAGGTCATCCTCCTGGCTGTGGCTGCCCAGGCCCACCCCTCTCTCTGTGGTCCCGGCTGTCCCGTTGCGGGAAGGGGCTGTATTGAACGAGAGGCCTCTCCACGCACGTGCCGCTGCCTACTTGCCCCATCGGGCCCGTGGACCCATCTCTCACTCTCCCTTGCTGCTGGGACCTCGCTGACCCCTTTCTATCTTGGCCCCCGGGAAGGAATGGGGTCCCTCTGCCTCAGCGAAGCCTTCCCTGCTCCCCAGGACGGCGAGCACCTCACCACACATCTTCTCTCCACAGATGGGGGCCCTGCTGGTGTCATTACGGCCGCTTGCGTGCTCTGCGACGGCCATCTGCTCCCGGCTGTATGCCTGGCACACAGCAGGCACTCAATAAATGTTTGCTGCATCTGCACATGCGTCTGGCTCGAGCACCTGCCCCTCCTCACGCCGTCCCTCCTCCACGGGGACCTTGCGACCCCCACTCCGCCTCTGCTGGGCCTTTTCCCTCCCTCACCCACCAGCTCTCATGACGGCCTCGGTCGGACAACCCTGGGAAGCCACCCCAGACGCTACTCTGGTTCCTCAGGCTGCGGGATTTATTAGGAACAACAGAAACAATCTGAGTACCAGTGTTCCCTGCGTTCATAAATGAATGGAATTCACAGTCCCCGAAAGGGCCACAGGGAGAACACATTTGTGGGACTTCTGGGGTCAGAACTCTACTACAAATAACGGAGCAGAGTCACCAAATCACCCTCTAGGACACACCCTGTGGCCCAGGCCCCGCGGGGCAGTGTGGCTCGGACTCCGTCCCCCACAGCCTGCAGCCACTCTGGAGTGGGGTGGGGTCCTCTCCTGCCCTTCAGGCCTGAGTGCCTGCCTGGGCACCTCAGCACAGCTCTGAATCCCGGCCCAGCTGGGAAGGCCGCGGGCCCAGGCCGCTGAGATGCAGCCTCCTGTTCCCATCTCCCTGCCTTTCCCACCTCTGAGGACTCCTTCCTGGCCATCACACTAGCTCCTTTTCTGCGGCCCAGACCAGGCTTTGATCCAGGGAACCCCCCAGAGCTTCCTTGTACACCACGTGAGGCCCGGGATTGGCCCGAGGGTGCCAAGCTGCAGCGATACCACCAGCTGCACAGGTTGGCTGAGCTTTGGACTAGGCACAGGCCTGGGCCTGGTGGGTCTCCAGCAACCTACACACCTGCCCCAGCACCCACGTGGCCCTGTTCCCGGGGGCCGGGCCAGGCTGCCCGGGAGGCGATGTTGCTGCCTCCACTGCCCACATGGTTACCTGGCCCGCTCCAGGGACTGCCCGGCTCTTCCTCCGTGGGCCTGGGTTCCGGTTCCTGTCCTTCCAGCTCCTTGGGGCCTCCTGGGGATGTGGGGGTCGGTGGCGGTGGGGGTGAGCTAACATCTGCAGAGAGGAAAACACCGTCACATCCCTGCTGAGTGCCAGGCACTGAGCTGCCCCTCCCTGTGGCTGGGAGGGATGCTGAGGCACTGGGCACCGGGTTGGGGAGCTCGGGCCCAGAGCCACCCCCACCTCCTGGCTCACTCTCACTGGGGTGAGACAGACACCCAAGTTTTCCTCTTGGTCTTGTAAAACCCCTCATCCCTCATTAATTGTTGCAATGATAATTGTTATTCCAGCTGCTGTTGATAATTAGGGCACAGGATGGCCGACCCGACCGGCCTGCCCCGGCCAGCAGGCACACACGCGGTCGCCAGCTCCCCGGTCCCCTCTGCTGGCAGCTGGGGGCCCCTCCACCAGGTCCTGCACCGATTCCAGCCCAAAGGGCATGTTTGCCTTCCCAGCTGGCCTGATAACCACCTCGGCCCCGATCGATGCGATCCCATAAAGCCCCCCCCACCCCGTGACGTCACATGCCCACAGATTATTAATACCCGCGATAAGGGCTGTGATTAACATCAAATAAGTCAATCACACAGTATAAAAGTCCTATTATTTTTGGCTATAAATCAAAGTGGCTGGCATCTGAGCTCCAGCCACTGCGAGGGAGCCTCACTGGACCCGCCAAGCGGCAGACACAGCTCCCGCGCTGCTGTCTTATCGCGCCCATCGCCACGCTATCACTCAGGCCTGTGCCAGGTGCAGCCCTGGTTGTTTTTTCCAGCTCCTTCCCGGGCCCCACCCCCACCCCCATGCAGCCCTGGCTCCTAGATCAGATAAGGAGCCTGGCTCCCCGGGAAGCCGGCCTGGGCCAAAGTCCACCACTTGCCCTTTGTTGTGGCCCCTCCATCAGGGCTCCTGCAGCTGGCCGGCAGCACCTGTGTGCGGCACTAAGGCTGGCGGCGGTGACAGCCAAGGGCCTCGGGGTCCACATGTGCCACACGTGCTCACTCCCCATAGCCACTGAGGGACTGGCACCCGGCTCACATGTGCAGGAACTGAGGCTCCGCAAGGGTTAAGAGCTCGGCCCCGGGACCAGCCAGGCAGAGTTCTGACTGCACCACAAGCAGTGTGTGCCAACGGTGATGGCAGCAAGGGCAGGGAGGAGTGGCAGCCAGCGGGTCCCAGGCCTCACCAGAGGCTGGGCTGGACACCTGCACCCAGCCTGGCCGTTCTGGGGCAGGGATGTCCCTGGGTGAGCTGGGGGAGATGGTGGACCCAGCCCTGGGGTCAAGTCCCACTGGCTCTGGTGACCCCGGGGCCTGCTGCCAGAAAAAGGGGCCCAGGCGTAGCAGGCTGGGTGTGTGCAGATGGGGTGATGAGGCCTGCTGGGCTCCTGGGGCTGTGGCCCACCCAGAGGGGGCTCTGACACTCAGACTGGGAAATGCTAGGGTGGGGGGTCCTCACTGAGAAGCCCCCCTCCTAAGCGAGGGACCAAGGTCTGCCTGGGATCTCCACCCCAGCCCCTCGGCTACAGACCCCTCTGTAACCTCTCCCCCACCCCCATTGGCCTTGGAGCCTTTGGACCTGCTGTCACTGCCTCCTGGCATCCCTCCGCCCATCAGGGACAGTCCCACGCACCCATCTCTCCTCCACCCCAGCTAACGTCACCCACCTAGCACCCTCCCAAACGGTCCGGGTATGGCCACATCTCCTCCACGTTGGAGTGAGGGTAATTCACAGTCTGTATGCAAAGGGTTTCATGGCACGGGTATGAGATTGGTGCCTGGGGCTGCAAGTGGAGTGTGGGGGAGCTGGGCAGAGCCCACCCCACAACCTGCTGCTGTCTCTCTCAGACCTTGGAAAAAGGGGGTGAGCATGCTGACCTCTCCTGGCACCTCTGTCCCAGGGAGGCCCCTTCTCCCAGGGTCTCTGGGTGTGTCTGGGGTACAGCTGTCTCTAGCAGACCTCCTTATGGCAGGTTAACTCTCTCCTGGGAGGGCAGGCCCTCTTCTCGGCTTGCAAAATGCCCTGCCCCATGGAATTGGCCACCAGGAGGGCCCAGGGAGTATGGAGGTGCCGACGAGGGTGGAGGAAATCAGGCTAAACCCAGACCTGGGTGGGACCCCCACTGGGGCACTTGCCAGCTGAATGACCCTGGCAAGTCACCAAACTTCTCTGGTCTGTGAGTGGGGTGTGCTGCATTAGCAGGAGACACCACTGTGCACCGAGCACCCACTTGCACCCAGCATCCACTGTGCATCCAGCACCCATCTGCTGTGCACCCAGCATCCACTTGTACCCAGTAACCACTGTGCACCCAGCACCCATCCACTGTGCACCTAGCAACCACTGTGCACCCAGCACTCACTTGCACCCAGCACCCACTGTGCACTCAGCCCAAGCAGCATGCCAGCAGGGGCCTCAGCTCACCAAGCCCCAGGGAGGGGGCCTCGGTGTCCCCACTTCGCAGAGGGTTTACTGAGGCTGGGAGGTGCATGGATTCCTGTCCAACCCTGGGCCAGACCTGCCTCACCTGGGCCTCGGTCTACTCATCTGTATGAGGGCCGGATTTCAGGCCACACATGCGGTAGGTGTGCACATCTCCCTTTCCCTGGAGACCCCCCAGCCCCACCCAGGGCCTCTGGGCAACAGGCCTCCGGCTGGAAGACGCCTGTCCTGGACTCTCGCATATGGCTGGCCCACACCGCTCAGACACCACTGAACTCCGAGTGCATGGTACGGGGAAGCAGGAGGCCCCAGCTGGAGGCATGGTGAGAGGGTTCAGTCTGACCCACCTGTGCTGGGAGGGCTCGGGGCTTCAGGCGCCGTGGCCTTTTGCTCCGTGTGGCTGGTGCCCACCAATTGCATCTCCTCTCCGGCCTCCATGTCTCCAAGGGAACCTGTGGACACAAGACGAAAGCGGTTCGGGAGGAGCTCTGGGGAGACGGTGTCTGCCTCCTGCCTCCTGACCCCTCCTGGCATAGGCACAGCCCTGGTGCCCAGGTGGAGTTGGCAGCTGGGCAGGGGTGAGGTCATCCACCCCTATGAGGTCAGAGACCAGGTGGCTGTTAGCCGAGGGCTCCCTCGGGGTCCCTCGAGACTTGACATTTGGGCATGGTGGCTCACACCTGTGATCCCAGCAGTTTGGGAGACCGAGGTGGGAGGATTGCTTTGAGTCCAGGAGTTTGAGAGCAGCCTGGGCAACATGGCAAGACCCTGTCTCTACAAAAAATACAAAAATTAGCTGGGTGTGGTGGCGCACGCCTGTAGTCCCAGCTACTAGGAGGGCTGAGGTGGGAGGATCGCTTGAGCCTGAGAGCTGGAGGCTGCAGTGAGCCGCGATTGCACCACTGCACTCCAGCCTGGATGACAGAATGAGACTTCTGTCTCAAAAAAAAAAAAAAACGACCTGATGATCCTTGACGAACCCCCATCCTCTGCAACAATTCCAAAGCTGCAGGATCGCCTCCACCCACCCTTACCTGCCCTGACCCCTGGCCTCCGCTGTGCCCACGGATTCCACTCTTGCCAGAGAAGAGTCACAACCCCTGTGTCTCTCTCCCACCTACTCCCCCCAGCACCAGGGGACAGGTCCCCACCCACTCTGGCAGCCGTGGAGCAGCGAGGGGGCCCTCCCTGTCCTGTAGGCCCAGCGTCCATCCAGGCCCCGAGGGTCGCCATCACCACGGCCTCCGCCCGGCATCATCCTCCAATGCCCTGCCCAGGGGCCCAGTCCCCGTGCGCTTCCCTCACACTCATTCCCTCGGTCTGGGAATTCCCTGGGGTGACGCCCTCGCCCAGCACAGGCCCTGCACAAAGCAGACGCTCACGGACTTGTTGAGCAAACAAACCAAGCAGGGCACAGGTGTCTGCAGCACCGGTGGGTGGAGTGCCTCAGGGCCTGGGCCCCTCAGAGACTCACACATCGGGGTGGGGGACTCCAGGAGCCCACCTTACAGGTGACGAGGCAGACTGAGACAAGGCCATGTGGCCCAAGTGTGGGGGCAGCTGCCCCGGACCCCACAGTGGCTGTGGAGTGGCGCTGAGTGCAGGCGTGCGTGCTGATGTCTGCCTACGGGGCTGGTGACGGGTGATGGTGTCCAGTGTGGACAGAGGACAGAGGTGTCCTTCCGTATCCTGCCTAACTGCTCCCTGGGCCCCCAGGCCCTGACTCAGTCGGCGTGCTGGGACTGCCCCCTCCGCACCCATCCTCCACAAGGCCTGGGCTGCCCTGCCCAGCCTTCTACTGTCCTGTGTGAGGCACGATGGGGGCAGAGCCTCCAGACCCACTCAGGAGTGGGAGGGGCCGAGGCCCTCCTGAGCCCAGGCCCCAGGTCCTGCAGCTCCCAAGTCACAGCAGAATACGAACAAGGAAAGTCTAGAAACCGCGTCAGTGTCTGTGAGTTCATGTGTCAGGGGAGCTGAAGGGGCAGAGTGGGCTTCTCTGGCAGAGGGCGGGTGGGGTAGAACAGAAGAACAGACCAGAAGGAAGGCCTAAGCGCTGCAGGCTGGAACCACCACCTCCTGAGGGCTGAGCTCCCCATCCCTGGAGGCGAGCAAGCCACACGGATGGAGAACTGTTCGGGGTGTGTGCCTCTGGTTTGGTGGTTCTGGCTTTTCTTGCCTCATGGCCCCTCTGGGAATCTGATGAAACCCAGTGACTCCTCCCCAGAAAAACACGCCGAGGCGCCCACATGTGCCCAGCTTCAGGAGCTTCTCTCCGAATCCCCGCCGTCCTCCTTCACAGCCCCTCATGCTCCCTGCTTTGCTCCGTGTCTCCAGGGAAAGGCAGGAGATGGGAGGGAGAAGGGCAGGTCAGAGCTGGAGCCTGCTGACGCCTGAAACACCTGCCCAGCCAGTAACAAACGTGCCACCCGCCAGCGCCCAACGCCGGGTTCAGAGGCTGCCTCATGTCAGAGACCCCCAAAGATGCGAGAGAATGAGAAATGCTGTGACTGCGTTTCAGGCTGATGTCCGAGGCTGACCCCGCCGTTCCACACAGCAGGGAGGTGGGAAGGTGGATTTTCTGTGTTTGGACTCCAGCCCCCTCTCTGATCATCAGCAGGCTGTGGCTGGCTGATTCCATCAAACCAAACTGCTCCTAGAGGGGCAGACGCCTTTTCTGCCTTCTGCTGACACCTGAGGGCCAGGTGCCCCTCCAGGATGCAGGGGTGCACCAGATCGCTGAACACTGCCCGGGGCGTCCAGGCCACAGTGGGGACAGTCAGAGAAGTACTGATGGGCCCCGACCAAAACCAATGGCAAGTTCTAGAAGTGCAGTGAGGGAAGGAGCCATGAGAGAAAGAGAAAAAAACATGGGGAGGGGAGGGGCTGCCACCAGCAGATCTTGGAGGGAACAGTGTGGTTGTTGCGAGACCAGCCCCTGAGAAGACAGCTCCGGCAGAGGGGGCCACATGGGCAAAGGCCCCGGGCTGGGACAGAGGTGGTGGAGGAAGGGGAGCTTGGGGGCCAGGGTGTGCTGGCAGCCAAGGCTGAGGGCAGGCAGGGTCCTGGCCGTGCTGACCTCAGAGGCCACGGGGAGGAGGCGACCCTCATCCTGGGGCCACCGGGGAGCCATGGGGGGTCCCGGACAGGAGGGACAGGCTGGACTTTCCCAACTGCTGCCTTCGGGGTTCTACCTGGGACCCGTGAGTCCGGGCCTCCTCAGAGCACCTCAGAGCTGTAATTACAGGAGGGGGCTGGGCTCAGACCACACAGGAGCCAGCCCCAGGCGAGGGCTCGCAGCCTCCCATCAAAGCGCCCACACGGGCAGCCTCCAAGGCGGGCTGGGCACACGCCTGACCGGTCCAACTCCTGCCCCTGGGACAGGAGGCCCAATCCGAGTGCCCTCCCTCAGCACATGCCAGGGCAGAAAAGCAGCCATGGCCGCCCCACCCCCCCACCTCTGGGCAATGCCATCCACAAGGCCAGGAGGTGCTCAGCCGTCCCGCCTTGGCGGCAGCACGTGAAGCACTCAGCTCAGCCCGGCTCCTCCCCATTCCAGAGGCCTGTGCTTTTCATGGCTGTCATGGAGCTCGGAGGGGCTGCCCAGGAGCTGAGGTCCCTCCTGCTGAGCAGCTGTAGGACCTCAGGGCCTCAGTCGCCTGCTCTGGCAAATGGGCTCGAGGCCACCTGCTTTCAGGGACTTTGGGGACCAGAGCACTGGGGTTGGGGTCCACAGGAGACGCAGCCCTGTGCATAGCTGCCGCAGCCCCAGGAAGGCAGGCTGGCTCTCCATGCCCCACCCAGGTGGGCCTCAGACACCCAGCGGGGCGCTGGGCTGGCGATGGGTTCTCCTATTTACAGGAGAACAAAGGCGCCTGCTCTACACAAAGCCGTGACGACGAGCATGGAAAAGAGGCTGCCAGGATAATTTCAGTTCCAGCACAATTAAAACAGCTCTGATAATGCGGGAGACAATTGTCAGCCCACAAATAGGGTGTGTCGAGGCGGATGCTGCCCTGGGCCTGCCTCGGCGTCTGAGAGCAGCTGCCCGGTCCCCGCTGAGCCTGAGTCAGTACCGGTCCCGTCTGTGGTCCACCGGGGGTCCATGGGGACTGTCCAGATGGGCGACAGAGCACTTGGGCCCCCACTGGCTGGGGGCATCTGTGAGCCACATCTCCTCTCTGCCGCTTTCCCCCTGGGCTAGCAAAGACTCCCCCGAGCCTTTTTGGGGACCCTCTCTCTGTGCCAACAGCCGGAGCAGGCCAACCCATGGCCAGGCAGGCTGACAGCTGCTGCGTCCTTGCAGTGTGACCTTGAGCAAGTCACTCCACTCTCTGTGCTGTTTCCTGGTCTACAGATGAAGCCACAGCAGCTCCCATCTCAGGAGATGGAACGTGCAGCCTGCCCGCATCCTCAGAGCCCGACACGGGGCAGGTGCTCAGTGAACATGAACGGTGGCTAGCACAGATTTTGGGAAATGGGCGAGGGTGTGAATGGTTAAGACCGGACGGGTGGCGCTCAGCACTTTACAAGTGCCCACCCGTAACTGCCCCCACCCACGTAGCCCAGCGAGGTGGTCGTCCAATTCCATTTCGGATGGGGAACCTGGGGTGTGGAGGGTGGCGGCCCACTCGGACCTCAGCAGGTAGGGGCGGTCAGGAGAGTGCATGGGGACAGGGTGCATGGAGGACGGGCGACCAGGACACGGACTTGGTGATGGCTGTGGCAGGGTGAGTGGAGTGGGGTAAGCAGGACCTTGGGGGCAGCCATCGTGGAAATCCCACTCGCCAGCCACATCCCAATACCCACAGCAGGAAGCCGAGTCATGCCCACTTTACAGGTGAGTAAACCAAGGCCCCGCAAGGCCGACTTGTGAGCTGCCCTGTCCAGGGCCCCTGGCGAGGAGGCAGTGGTGGGGGCGGTGGGATAGGAACTTGGGGCTGGATTTCAGACCTGCACCCAGCACACAGCCCTTCCCCAGGCCAGACACAGCCCCCACACCTCCCTCGCCCCGGGCCCACCTGCAGTGAGGGTGATGCTAGCCCCATGGCCTGGCCCGGGAGAGGTCAGTGGCCAAGGCCGCACCTGCCTGGGGGTGTCCACAGGCCATGGTGGTGGTCACCGGTGGCCAGGGCAGCGCTGGGCTCAGCCCCTGCGGTGCCCGGAGCCCCTTGGTTATCACAGCTAGCAGACACCCGCGCGCCCATCCGTCTCCTGCTCATTAAGCCGGACGCCAAAATGGAAATGAAAACATAATAGCTATTTGATTGGGGGTGAGATATTTTGCATATTGGCTTGGCGCTGATAGCGGAATTTCATCAACTCCCTTTTTTCATGCTTTAAAACTGAATTATGGAGCTGGCTCTGTGCAGTGGGATGATCCCAGCTCCCTTCCAAGTCCCGGTGCTGATGATTAAGGTGGCCCCTCCCAGCTTTGATGGCGAGGCAC